GTTGTCCACAGGTGCCTGGGTGGCCAGCCTTCACCTACATGCATGGAGGACAGAGCTCAGGCACGTGATGATGATGAGCTTCATATGGGTGGCACCAGAGGAAGGTCAATGTCACATGAATCTTTGGACCAATCCTGAGAGTTGGTTGATCCTGGGACGCTAGTTCTTCAGAGAGAGAAAAGTGACTCACCCAGGGTCACACCTCCAGGAATCAAGCCATGGGTACGCCAGTCCTGTTAACTGGGACCCCTAATGACAGAAAGGTGAGAGGTCCAACCAGAACTTCTCAGCCGTCTGCCGCTGTGTCACTGAGAGGTGTTTCAGCATCTAAAAGAGGGTGTGGTTCATCCTCACGGGAGCCCACCTGGATGTCATAGGCTCATGCGCATCTCGAGCTATTCCGGGAGAGAAGACACAAAGCCCATCACTCTGAACAGAAGGGTCTTCGGTTGTCATGGTGACTGGGAATGGCGAGAGAAGCTTTCTGCTCTCTTTGAGGGGGGAAAAAAAAGTGTGGTTCTTTCTGTGATGAGCTACAAAATGCCTCCCATGTTCTGCCCGATCTGGTTGCCTCTCCTCTTTTCTCTCTTCCCTCTGGCTTGTGAATTTCCCATCCCTGCCAAATAGGTCAGCTGATTTGGAAACATTAATTGTTTGTGCTGTTGGATGCCAAGTTCCTCCCTGGCCTTCCCCACCTGGCAGAAGTTCACTCACCCTCTCAAAGCCCATCTCAGATGGCCCCTTCTTCCTGTAGCCCGTCACCTGCCGGCTGCCCCCTCCACGGCCCCACAACATGCACTCAGCCGACCCGGGGCGTCGCTGTCTCTTGAGCCCCCCACTGGTTGGGGCCTGCTCCCGTGGGTCGTCCCCTAGACTCTGAGTCCAGTCCTCTGCGTCTTCCTACCTGGGATGTGACTGCCACCAAATTGTTGAATGAATCAACCAACAAACGGATCAGTCCATGAGTGCATTTCAAAGGCAACCTAAGACGCCCTAGTGACAACACTGTCTTTGAGACATTTTAAATATTTTATTACAGTTTTTTTCATAAAACACACACACCGAGTCCAAAAAAACTCTCACGGTGCCTGTTTTAGTTTATTTCGGCTGCTGTAACAAAAACACCATAGGCTGAGTGGTTTACACAACAATTTATTTGTTACAGTTCTGGAGGCTGTGAGTCCAAGACTAAGGCCGTAGAAAGCAGCTTCCTGGTTCACAGACGGCAGTGTTCTCACTCCATCCTTCCCTGGTGGAAGGGGTGAGGGATCTCTGGGGTGTCTTTTACCTAAGGACACTAATTCCATTCCCGAGGGCTCCACCCTTGTGACCTAATCACCCCCCCAAAGGCCCTACCTCCTAGTATCGTCACATTGGGAGGGGGCTAGAATTTCAACATATGAATTTGGGGGTGGGGGACACAAACATTGGCTCCATGGCAGTGCCCAAGGGCGTAAATTAAGCAGTGAGTCTTTCTTCCCCCTCCAAAGACCACTCCCCAGATGTTCCGACCCACACAATGGTTGTTTATATTTCCAAACGTTTCCCTTTTGTATGCTTTACACAATTGGGGACATGCTGTCCAAACTGTTCAGTTAGAAGATAAACAAATTTTTTAAAAATCAAATAAATAGAACAAAAAGAAATCTTTTTATTTCGTGTAGCAATATCATGGCGATGGTTTCACATCATTCCCTATTCAGTTATGTAGAGCTCCATTTAATGGATACATAATAATTTCTTTTTTTTTTTAATTTTTTTTCAACGTTTATTTATTTTTGGGACAGAGAGAGACAGAGCATGAACGGGGGAGGGTCAGAGAGAGGGAGACACAGAATCGGAAACAGGCTCCAGGCTCCGAGCCATCAGCCCAGAGCCCGACGCGGGGCTCCAACTCCCGGACCTCGAGATCGTGACCTGGCTGAAGTCGGACGCTTAACCGACTGCGCCACCCAGGCGCCCCAACATAATAATTTCTTTAATCGAGCTTCTATTGGAAGACAAGGACGGTGCGTCACTTAATATGCTCCCCCCAGGGGCCTGTCTGCCTTCATTTTTGCCAGCATTAGGTACGATTTTATTCATTTTTGGACCTAATTTTAGTTGCCTTTTTTATTCATTTTTGGACCTAATTGTAGTCGCCTTCTGGATGGAAGAGGCGGGCTTGTCAATGCGCATTCATCCGTGCTGTTCATATCGTGTTAGACTTAGTAATTAATATTTGTATTTATTTTTCTCCAAAGGCTGTGAAAACACGCCAAAGGCAGGGGCTGGAGCGCAGGGAACTACTGTTCCCCGTGAGGCACTCGATACATTTGTGGTACAGATGAGTGAGTGAATGTCTGCGGATGACACAAGGCAGGAAGGTTGGGAAGTATTTTCTGATGCCAGGTCAGTGGCTTAAAGGCCAAACTCACTGAGATGTCATTTCCTGACTTGTATTCCGACCAAATCAATGCAACGCTTCATTTCATCTACTTTCAGTCTTTTACTATTTGAAATAACGTTGTACACTTTTACAAGTATTTCCTTACAAAAAGCTTCTGGAAAATCCCAACTGTGGAATTGCTGACTCAAAAGCGGCACTATTTTTTAGGGATTCTTGACACATTGTATCAGAATGTCCCTCCAGAAGATTGACAGAAATTTTCACGCCAACCGAGCTCTGTGAATCCTGTCAATGCCCTCTTCCTTCCTCGGGTAGGGAGAAATTAGGTGAGATTCAAATGCGTGTTTCTTCAACAGTAGTTAAGTTGGCTGTATTTTGCTGTCTGTTGGCCATTTGTAATTCTTTTTTTTTTTTCTTTAAATGGTTATTTATTTTTGAGGGAGAGAGAGAGAGAGAGAGAGAGAGAGAGAGAGAGAGTGGGGGAGGGGCAGAGAGAGAGGGAGACACAGAATCGGAAGCAGGCTCCAGGCTCCGAGCTATCAGCACAGAGCCCGACGCCGGGCTCGAACTCACAAGCCATGAGATCATGACCTGAACCGAAGTCAGACGTTTAACCAACTGAGCTACCCGGGCACCCCCGGCCTTTTGTATTTCTTATATGAATTATTTATTCTTACCGATAGTCGATTTTTCGGTTGGGATTTTGTTTAATTTCTTATTGTGGCAGAATGTTACTTGGGTGTTTCCGATGGACCGCGTCCCCTGGCGTTCAGTGCCTGTGCCCCCTCCCCCCCTTGCATCTGGGCGACTTGCACAACCTCCTGTAACAGATAGAATGAGGCAGAAATAGCACGGGGAGGGCTTTAGGGCTCAGCTGTCAGGGAGCTTCCCCTCTCCTGCCCGTGTTCGGTTTGAAGCCGGCAGCCATGCATGGGTGACACCACCACAATGTCAGAGGCCCAGTCTGGCCACCAAGAGAAGCTTCAGGAAGAAAACTGAGTCTCCAGCTAAGGGCTCTGGCTGAGCTCCCAACAGCCAGCCAGGTGAATGGTGGCGACCTCGCTGGTGACCGGGGTCACCGAACAGAAGACTTGGCCATGCCAAGCCCTGTCCGGGCACAGAATCAGGAGCAGATGCCTACGATGATTGTCTTTACGAGCCGTTACTTTGGGGATAGCTTGTTGTATCCCAAGAGAGAACCCAAACTCTCACTATGGCTGTCAATTCTACAGATCAAAGCTCATGGGTTGGAGATATGAAGTGTCAGAAGTTAATTTTCATGGTTCATTTTCTCCCCCCCAGAGTTTGTCTGACTTTTCATTATAGCTGATTGATTTAGTCAGATCTATCCCTTCTTCTCTGCACGGTTTCAGCTTTTCAGGTCATGCTTGAGGCTCTTTCTCATCCCAGTTAAGCCCACTGACATCCAGCTGTATTTCTTCTCTCGTTTCACGTTTGTATGTACGTGTGCATTTTTAGATGGGATGTGGAACGTTTTCATCAATCTGGAAGTTACGGTGAACCAGGGCAGGGGTGGAGGCAAAGTCTGTGGGGGTGCAGGGCTTTTCCTGGACCTGAGGGGAGAAGGCAGTGGGGGTGTGGCACGGGGAGGGAGACAGCACTCTGGCCAGAGGAGGCCCGGCAGGTGATACAGGTGTGCGAGGGTCCAGAGTCATCCAGATGCCCCCACCTGCCTGACCTCCTGCCGGGTGCCCTCTGATGTGACCATGGTGCCTCATCTGCAGAGCACGTCTTCTGTTCAGGCCCTCCTGGGCCCCAATGAATGTGCCACCCCCTTACCTCTGAGAAGGTCACGAAAGTTCCTTCACTAACACCTCCGGGGAGCTCTGCAAATGGCTGAGTTCAGGCCCAGCTGGGAACCAGTGGCAGGCGGATGAGGGGACGGTGGGCACTTCCAGGGTGTGGGCCATTCGTCACGACCTCTAGCCTCCTCTAGACCAGCAGCCGATGTCAGGGAAAAGAAATGCAGACAAAAAAAAGGTGCAGACAGGAGACACGCGTCTAGGTTAAGACACTTAAAATGTATCCTATACAAATAAAACAAACAAACAAAAAACACTGCATGAATCTCGTTTGGATTCTGATTTGGGGGAAAATGCCATGAAAATGACTTGGGGGACAATTCTGGATGTTTGAATCTGCACCGAGTATTTAATCATATGAGGAATGTGTCCTTCATCTTCTCATTTGAGGTATAGAATGTGGCTAGGTGAGATAGTGCCTCTATTGTTAGAAGATATTTGTTGGAGTATTCGGGGGTCAGTGGGTCACCGCGTCTGTATCTTACTTTCAAATGCCCCAGCACATAAAAGCAAAAATAAAAGTAAAATGTGAACACTATTGGCTCTGAGGAAGTAGGCATACGAATGATCGTTGTGGTGTTCTATAAAATAAAATAAAATAAAATAAAATAAAATAAAATAAAATAAAAATAAAATAGTATAATATAATATAAAATATTATATTTATATAATTTATATAATTTATAATTATATAATTATATAATTAATTATATAATTATATAATTATAATTTATATAATTTATATAATATAAAATAATAAAATATAATAATATAAAATAAAACAAAACAAAATAGAATAAAATAAAATGAAGCATGGCACACCCCCAAAAAAGAGATATAGTCTCTTTGGGTCCCCTCTTGGTATTTGATTGAGATCCTTAAGAAAATGCCAGTCTGCCTCAGTGCTCCTCTAGGGTGCAGGCCCGTCCGGGGCTGAAGGTGAAAATGGGGTGGTGGCAACCTCATCAGGGTCTTCTCCCTCAGGCGGAGGTCCTTCGCATCTGGCAAGCTCATCCAGGGCAACCCTCGCGTGCAATTTAAAGAAACTCTCTGAAAGCTGGTCCCCGCACGACCGATGAGCCCAACAAGCCCACCACCAGGGAGGGCTGAATGAAAAGATGAGGCGTGTGCGACACTCCTTCTTCGCCCGCCGAGACAGGAGAGAGGCGTGTGGCACGGGGGCCGGGCCGTGTGACCTCTCCGGCCTCCCTCCCCCGCCCCGCCCAGCTGTCTGGTCCTCGGATCACTGTGGCATGCATCTGAGCCTGGCGACCGCTGTCTAGGGCGTGACTTAGAAAGTGGGGCACAGATCACTATTGATTGGCAAAGACCGAGAGCATTTTCCCACGGGGCTTGAAGGTCATTGTCGTTTCAGTTATTCACTCACCCACTTATTCATTCATTCAAGAAGCTGGCTCTGGTCAGAGGCTGCTGACCTGGGGGCTTGGAAGGTAAATGGGACCCAGTCCTTGCCCTGGAGGCACTCACCATCCTCACAAGCCAAAGCCACGGTAAAACCCAGCAGGGGACATGCCTTTAGAGGTTAAGTGTGGCACAGGGGCAAAAAGAGGAAATGTTTACTCAACCCGAGGCGGGGCAGGGCACAGTGAGCCAGCCAACGGGGTTAGGGATGGCATCGCTGGAAGTGACTCTGTCCTTCATCAAGGTTCTTACCGGTGACGGCCCAGAACGTTCCTTCGTCCTCCCCGCGGCCCCGAGAAGAAAACCCGAATGCCGATCCCCCGGCTGCACAGACGTTGGAGAGGTGACTTTCTCTAGCATCACCTGTTATCTGCGATGGAGGCGAAAAAACCCCTCTGAGAGACCGCTCACTCCGGAACCTGACCCCTACCAGCGGCCTCCCCAGGGAAGGGCAGACGCGGCCCAGGCAGGAAAGGCTGTGCGGGGGCGGGGTTGAGACCCAGGGGGCTCAGCCCACAGACTATTAGCCCATTTTACAGGAGTACAGACTGAGCTCAGAGAGGTGGGGACACTGCCCACATGCACCGCCCCCCCCCCCCCCCCCGTGGCAGAGCGGGAATCCAGACCCCCACTTTCAGCCTGAGGACCTCCAGCTCTTTGCCCCCGCAAGGGTGGCCTGAGAGGCCCTGCCTGACCTTGATCCTGCGTGGAGCCAAGGTTAGCTGGGCAGCGTGGTGGGGGACGGGGGAGGGAGGGAGCAAGTATCTCTGTATCTGTCTTCCAGTTAAATAAAAACCCGGATCGCAAAACTGCTGCCTAAGCCCTGGGCCCGTGTGTGCGCAGGGCGGTGTCCGCTGCTCTGGAAAGGAGCCAAAGCGGGCAAATGTTTAACCAGGTGTGTCCTGTGCCTCCCAGAGCCTGCAGAGATTCCCTAGTGCTGACCCCAGACCGTCCCAAAAAGTGCTGTGTGAGATTCCTGACCCGGGTTGCCGCCACCGTCTGGGGGTGCTTCCAGGCGTCTGGGGGTGCTTCTAGGCGGTTTGAAGCCTGCCAGCCCCAGGTGCCATCCTGTTCCGGACCCTCAGCACTGGTCAGCTAAGGTGCAGGCATTTCCTGTAATCAGAAGGTCAGAACCCCTTACCTGTAGAGTTAATCGTCCTGCCTTTACAGATGGGGAAACTGAGTCCCAGAGAAGGGCAACCCCGGCCAAGAGTCACACTAGCAGAAGAGGGACAGAAATGAAGTCTCTCGACACCCAGCCACGGGCCCCGTGCTCCCTGCCTCAGTCCGCTCAGGCTGCTGCGACAAAATAGCACAGACCAGGTGGCTTAAACCACGTTTATTCTCATAGCCGTGCAGGCTGCAAGTCCAAGATCAAGGCAGAGTCGGGGCGCCTGGGGGGGCTCAGTCGGTCGAGCATCCGACTTCGGCTCAGGTCTTGATCTCGCGGTTCAGGAGTTCATGCCCCGCGTCGGGCTCTGTGCTGACAGCTTGGAGCCTGGAGCTGCTTCCGATTCTGTGTCTTCCTCTCTCTCTGCTCCTCCCCTGCTCATGCTCTGTCTCTCTTTGTCTCAAGAATAAATATAAACATTAAAAACAATTTTTTTTTTTTTTAAAGATCAAGGCAGAGTTGGTTCTTAGCTTGAGAGCCCTTTCCTAGCTTGCTCATGGGCACAGGCCTGTGCCGAGAGGAAACTGGCAATCTGGCCGTCCTCGGGCATCCTTGACTGTGCTCCTGTCCTGACCCCCCACCCCTGCCCATCCAGGCTTCTGCCCACCCCACACACCTTCCTTCCCATTCAGCTGCGATGTCCCAGCCCTGCCGGCCCTTCTAGATTCCTGACAGCCTCAGCAGGAGGGACCGACAGGATCACCCAGGCGCCCTGTTCTGGTGTGTGAACCTCACAGAGATGGGGTGGGGACCCCCCAGCATCACTTTCTGAATTACTCGAGGCATTAAATGAATCACGGAGGATGGAAATGACTCCCAAGTTAACCCCTTATGCCCTCCTGGTCCTACCAGGGAGCGAGTCTTGATTTGGCATTGGTCCGAATGCTTCCCTGATGCTTTTTCTTCTCGCACAAGGAGAGCCGCCTCTGTGCCCAGGTCCTTCCCAGCCAGGATTTAACACCCCATTGGCTTTGGGTTGTGATTATTCTCACCAGTGACTTCAGTTCATGACCAGCAAGACGGCTTCTCCACTTAGAGCGGCAGCGTCGTGTTCGCCTTAATTTTTTTTTTTTTCTATTTCAGCTTCTATAAGGGGATCCATTAAATTTTCAAAAGATATGAAGTAATAAATTTTGCAAAATGTGTTTGGATTATGGTAAAAAAAAATCATAAATGTAATACGCCAAAGACTGCCATTTGGTAACTATTACTCGGACACAAACCACGAACCCAGGCAGGGAAGATGAGGCCCTGGAAGGGGAGGCCGGACAGCCGGTGTGTGTGGGAGGGGCCACCTCCGGCGTCATGTGGATTTGGACCTACTGCGCCCTAGCGTTTTACGTCCTCGGTTACTCCCTACCGCCAGCCTGCGGGATGCTGCTTTTCCTGTTAACAGTTGTGAAAACTGGGTTTCAGAGAGGCTGAGTGACTTTCCCGAAGTCGCACAGCTAATGGAGGTCCTGGGGATTGGAGGCTTTGTTCCCTGGGCCAGGGCTATCCACCCCTCCCATCCCCTCCCCCCATCTGGGCCCTGAAGCCTCCCCTCCCCCACCTCTGCTCCGCTTCCCACTCCCGGCCTGTCTTGGGGGAGCTGGGAGCTGAGTTCATAAGCCCTGAGCTGGTCTCTCTGAGAGTCTCTGTCCCCAGTACTAGCTGTGACCCTGACTACAACTGTCTCAGCATAAAGAGTAGGACCCCTCCCCCCCCCTTGTGCTGACCTTCAGGGAAGCACTGATCTCACCTCCTACAAACACACAGGACTACATTCTCTCCTGCAAGACCCACCTCTGGCCCATCCAGCATTCTTGGACCTAGGAGCACCTGCTTGGGCCCTGGGGCCTCGTTTATACGACCTCGATCTTGCACACAGACTTGTGTGCTGTCCCATTTTAAACCCGAGTACGCTGACACCCAGAAGCTTCCATCACTTATCCACACTCACCTGCCTTAGAAGGAAAAGAGCTCGCATTCCAACCCAGATTGGTCTATAGCTCCAAACCTGACCTCGGTCCTCCTTCCCCATGAACATTCAATTTCAGAGAAGCCTCTGTCTACCCGGATCCCAGTATTCACGTGATAGCCCCAGTCCCTCATCCCTGGCCCCCTCCTGGGGTGACAGCATCAGCTACCTGATGCGCGAGTACTGGGCACCCCCTGTCACAAAGGGTTCCTGGGAAAAGGTGGGGGTGGGGGTTGCCGGGGAGGCAGGTGGCCCTTGTTCCTCTCCTGAGAGGTCCTGCCCCTGGAGCCTGCAGACCCTCGGCCTCAAGGACAAAACAGAGGGGAGACTCTGGGCCAGAAAATCAGAAACTTCATTCCGGACCACGCACTAACTCCTGGTGGCTTTGGGCACGCTGTTGCCTCTCAGCGTACTCATCTGTAAAATGGGGAAGAGCTTTGGGAATTGGGAACTCACGGGCTTTATATGGCCCACAAACACATTGTTTGTCCCTTTCTTTGCCCCCCCTCCCCAACCTTTTCTCATTGCTTCTTTCATCACGTTTTGGTTTTGCTTTTGTTCTGTTTGGGGGGCTGTGGGTGTGCATACGGGCGCATGCCCACAAGCATGGCAATAACAACGCTTCCTGTTGATATGCCAAGTGGGTCCCTGCTTTCTGTGGTTGGCCCCTGGAGGACCTGGATGCCAGGAACTATCGCCCGGGCCTGGAGGGACTGGAGGTCCCTTCCCTGGGGACAGCCTCTGCAGCAGCTGGCCGACCACATGGCCGCCCCGAGGTGGAGTCCAGAATGCATTGTTTCGCTCTGTAATTAACACACAGGGTTCATTTTTCAGGGCCTGACTTGGAAACAAGTGCCAAGAGCATTCCAGAGGGGTCAGAGGGAGTGTTTACTGTCAGACTGTGGAAGAAACTTCCTCCAATAAACCCTTGGGTCACGTACCAACCCTCGAGTAATGCCTTCCAGACTGAGTACTCAGCAAACCCTCATTCGGCACCTACTGTGTGTCAGGCCCCAGCCCAGGCGTGGAGACACAGAGACACAGGTTAGATGCAGTCCCTGTCCTTGGAGAGCTCCCAAGCCTGCGGGGGAAGCCGATTTATAAAGGGACATCCCCAGGGGCTAAGAACACTGACAGCGATGAGCACCAGACCCAGGGAGGTGGTGGGCAGGGAGAGTCGGCAGCCTGGGTGGTGAGTCCTGTGCCTGAGTCCGGAGTCTACCCACCCATTTTTCCAGGGAATGTAGTAGAAGGAGGCATTGACCTATCCTCGAAGGCCGGTAACAAGGGTCTCCTTTGGACATCAATTGTTTCTCTGCCCGACTGCATTCCTTTTTCCAAAAATGTTAAACGCTGTGGAATGCGTGAGTTCAACAATCAACACTCTTCAGAGACAACCAGTGACCGGTGCCGGCTGAGCACATTTCTCCAGCACTTTCTTCCGGGCTTCAACATAGCGAAGACTCCAGGGCTTACTGTCTTCCAGGCCTGCAGAGACAAAGCCTCGCAGGGTTGCACGCATTCCATCCTCAAAACACCTCCCAGAGGAAAGTACTAGGAGCAAGCACACCCGTTTTCTGCGCAGGGAAACCGAGGCACGGCAACAGTGAGTCACACGGTGCAAGTCACACGGGAAACCTGGCTCCAGGTCCGGGCCCTTAGCCCTGAGAGCTGTGGAACCTGTCCACCCTCAGCCGCGCTCAGACCAGCGTCAGCCCCCTCTCTGCTGCTTGCAACACGGCGAGTGAATCCATACGCCCACATGAAAACAGCATTCACCCCAACAGCCTCGCACTGTACGAAATGTCCTGAGCCTGAACTAGACCTTGTGAACATCCGCTGTTATCACAGGCAGAGCTACTGCCTTCACTTCAAGGTCTGTTTGTACTCCAAATTTGAGCGCACCATAGTGGATCGGACCAGTCTCCTCCCAGGGCATGCGGGGTGGTTTCCGGTGTTCCACTCTTACAAACCATGTTCCCCACAGAGATCTTCGCTGGGGCCGATGAGCATTTCGGCCACATGGATTCCTGGAAGAGGGATCACCAGGTCAACGGTGCGGCCACACCTGCCAGCCAGCCACACCTGCCGAGCTGCCCACCGGGCAGACTGGTCCAGAACTCACTTCCATCCACCGGAGGAAGACTGTCTGAGCTGGCCGCGTTTAAATGCCTTTTCCCGTTGTGGCTGGCCGCTGAGCTGCATTTCACAGCCTCCCTGCGCTTTGCTTTTTTATCCGTGCTCTTAAATGGCTTTGAGAAGGTCAAGATAAAAAAAAAAAAAATCAATGGTGCAAATGACAAAGGTGCGATGTGGTCATCTGCTGTCGTTCCCAGGAGGACAAGCTTGGCTTGCGGTCCTTGGGTGGAAGTCACACAAAGGTGCCCCGTCCCCCACCCCAGCAGCCCGTGCCAGCCTGCACAGCCCAGAGAGCAGATTTCGCGCTGGATCTCAGCCTCCACCTGCGCAGGGCACAGCCTGGCCAGCCCTCCACATCATTCTAGTTAGGGAAGGAAGCTGGATCCAGGCTGCCCAGATTCAAATCCAACCTTTCAACCCCATGAATCATGTGTCCTTGGACCAGCCACTTAAACACTATGTGGCAATTTCCTGGTATGAAATAGAGGCTGGTGATCATAATAATGCCTCCCTTGTGGACAGCAGTGGTGAGAATTTAGGTGAAATATTTAAAACCCTTATAGGCTTACACAGTACAGTATCAGTAGATGTTTGCTAACAAGCCGTTAACAATCCCCCCGGGCAGGTCTTCGGGAGGCCCGAGCATCGCTCCCAGAGGTTCTGCTTTTCTCCACCACAAAGGTTTCTTTGGCCTTCAAGCCAGTGCCTTTAATGGAAAGATGCTGGATCTGGGAACTGGAGGGAAAAGGGCTGGAATCCTGATTCTCTCCTACCCTCTGTGTGACTTGAAGTGACTCTTTTATGTGATTTTCATGTTCCAGAGTTTTGTCTGTATATTCGAGACCTAGCATCGCACCTAGCCAAAAAGGGCCACCACGAATTCTGGTTCCTCTACCAATTCAGGGGCTCCAGGAAGTAGTAGAGGGCAATAGGTGGGGGGTTGGGGCTCAGGGGGGAGGAGGGGTGCGTGGAAGAATCCAGAAAGGAGCCCACGCTTCTGGCTCCCTGTGCTGGCCTGCCAAAGCCTTCAGCGGTGACCAGGTCCTGCCCCGCCAGCCTGCCCGAAGCCCCCGCGGAGCCATCCCGATGCCAACTGGCAGACTCCAGACACCGGGGCTCGGCACACGCACCCCTCCAGCCCCACACACCCTTCAAGACCCAACCTGTGTCGCTTCCTCCTGGAAGCTTGGGTGATTTCTCCAAACTGGGATGGTCGGCTCCTGGGATCTCCCACACCTCTTTCCTTGTACCTTTTTTTTTTGGCAGGCGCTTGGAAAAAGCACCCGTGCGTTGCTTCTGTTCTCCAAGAGAGACTGGAAACTTCCTAAGGGCAGAGGTTGGTGTCATGCAAGACCCATGGTGGGGCGGGGGGTGGGGGGGGGAGGGCATTGGAGTCGTGAGTTTACCACCAGCCAGTTCTGAGGTTCAGTTCCCAGCTCTGCCCCTCACTACCCCGGAGGCCTTGGGTATGGCACTAAACATCTCTGCCTTAGTGGGGGAAGGGGTAGGTGGCCTCCATTTGCAAGCCCCTCCCTGCCCTGCCCTGGACTTGGCAGGCTACATGCATACTTGTGGATCCTTAGAACAGATGGGTTCTTCTCCCTCACCTCCTTGCGCGGGGAAGGAAACCGCGGAGCCTCAGTGGTAGCAGATCTGCCTGAGGACACGCTCTAAGCGGGCAGAGCTGAAATCTGAACCCAAGTCTGCACAGGCATGCTCTAGCCGCCAACGCCCCCGTGCCTGTCTCTGTCCCCTTGTTCCTGCTGTGTCCCCCCGCCCCTCCGGCCGCCCCAGCCCCGCAGGGAAAACCAGGCGAGGCATTGGATGCATCCTGTGAACTCGGCACGCGGATTTCAAACAGGGACGTAGCAGCCGAATGCGGGTAGTTCTTGCCCTTCACTCAGCGTGCTTTAGGCTTTCCAGTCCCGGTGGGCGAACCACACAGCCCCTCACCGAGCCCCAGAGGCCTGGCCCGCAGGAGCAGGAGCAGTGGCCAGAACTGGGGAGAGGAACTTGCACCTTCCGGCTCTCCTCCTGACACTGTTCTCTCGGGAGCCCCGGGAATTACGTTTGCCTCCCCGTTTTGCTGTGTGCTCAGGAAGCAGCACGTGAAGAAATCCTGGGCCAGAGCAGGCGCTGGAGAGACAGCGGTCGTGACCGCTCTCCAAGGTTGTCCTGAGCAGGCACCCGTGGCTTACATTGTGTCCCCGAATCGCCACAGCCACCCAGAGGCAGATGCCCTTATTGTCGTCACGGACGAGGAGACTGAAGTTTAGAGCGATGCAGGAGCCCGAGCGCATGGCGGTCCCCGGATCTCTAACCCTCTGCGAGCTGGCAGGTGCTCCTAAAACACAAGGCTTGAGCACGGACGCTCATCCCCACTGCCCGCCGTCCGCGCAAAGGTGTTCCCGTGAGGGCCCACAGAGGCCGACTCGGGCTCGCGTGGCCCGCGTCCCTGTCCCTCCTCCACGTCCGCCTGCCACCGGCTGTTGATAATGTTCACGGAGTCGGGGACGGGCCGCTCACTTCCACGCTGCTTGTTTTACGACTTCCACTTATACACTGAGCCGGCGTCTAGCCAGACGAGGCCTGGCCCAGCGAACGGCCTGTGGGATGACGAGCGCGTCTGCTGGGCTTTGCAGAGGTCCCGTGCGACGCCTCCCGTTGGCCCAGCCTGCCCGAGGTGTGGTGCCTCTAGAAGAGGTGGCGATTTCGAGAGGACACAGGGCAGGCTGGGAGAGGTTTCCTTCTCGTCCCCCTGGGCCCTTCCCTCGAAGTGAACTGACACAGAAGAAAGGCGGTCCTATGTGTCCTATGGGTCTCTGGGCCCACGTTGAAGCTGTGTGACCTAGAGCAAGTTACTGAACGTCTCTGAGCGTCACCCGTCTGTACCTGAGACCATTCCGCACATCCACCTGGGTGGCGAGGAGTAAGAAGATAGAAAAAAACAAAACAAAACAAAAAAACCCAAAACCAAACACCAAAAAACAGTGCCGGCAGATGGACAGTACTTGGTTTATGTTCACTTCTTTTCTTTTCCTCACCGTTGCAGGGAAAAAAAACCCAAAAAACAAAAAACGATCTTATCAGTTCTTTTTTTGGACATGCATTTTGGTCTGGAGAGACATGTGTATGTAAGATGTCGTTCCTGGGAGTGTGATACGAATCCGTCTGCCACGTTGCTTGTCTGCTTGTGAGTCCGGACGCAGGCCTTCCTAGCTTGCCGTCCTAGCGCATGATTCAAGCTTACAGCATTTATTATGCGCTACTGTAAACCCCGCCTGGAACGAGGGGCTGGGAGCTGCAGAAAACCGGATGCCTTCTGCAAGAGCTCACATTCCAGTGGGGGGAGGCCAGCAGCTCCGGCCAGAACGGACATCCCCAGGGAGTCACGATTTCAGACTGTGCATTCTGGAAAAGGTGGCATTTTGGGTGCCCCCCAAATATGAGCAGGACCGCTGTAAGCAGAGCTAGGAAGAAAGGCATTCAGGCAAAGGGAATGGTTGCAATGTCAAATCTGTGGACGTAGAGGGGCGCCTGGGTGGCTCGGTCGGTTGAGCATCTGACTCCGGCTCCGGTCACGATCTCACGGCATGAGTTCGAGCCCCGCGCTGGGCTCTGTGCCGACAGCTCAGATCCTGGAGCCTCTTCGGCTTCTTTGTCTCCCTCTCTCTGTACCTCCCTCACTTGTGCTCTGTCTCTCTCTCTCAAAAATAAATAAACATTAAAAGATTTTTTAATGGTAGAAGTGTAGTGTGGAGATATTGGTTTTTTTTTAAGTTTATTTATTTATTTTGATGAGAGAGAGATAGAGAGCTGGGAGGGGCAGACAGAGAGAGAGAGAGAGAGGGAGTCCCAAGCAAGCTCCTTGTTGGCAGCACAGAACCCGACGCAGGGCTGGGACCCCCGACCCATGAGACCATGACCTGAGCCGAAACCAAGAGCTCAACCCATGAAGCCACCCAGGCTCCCCGAGATATTGTTTCCAAGTGCTCGTGACCTTCAGAATCACCTGGAGAGTGTATTAAAACACAGATCATGCAACCAAGATGTCCTTCAGTAGGGGAGTGGATAAATAAACCACGGTCCATCCAGACAACGGAACCCCATTCAGCGCTGACAAGAAACGAGCCACCATGCTGTGAAGAGACATAGGAGGACCTTAAAGGCCCGTCACTAAGTGAAAGAAGGCCGTCTGAAAAGACTATGTACTGACTGTATGATTCCAGCTCTATGACATTCTGGAAAAGGTAAAACTGTAGAGACAATGAAAGGATCAGTGTTTGCCTGGGAGAAGAGGGGCTAGGCAAGTATGAGTAGTCAGAGCGCAGAAAAATTTTAGGGCGGTCGAACTATTCTGTAAAATGGTGGACACGTGTCATTATACATTTGTCCCAACCCGCAGAATGTACCGCACCAAGAGGGAGCCCGAAGGTAAACTGTAGACTGTAGGTGATCATGGTGTGCCAGTGTGGGTTCATCGGTTGTAACAAATGTACGACCCTCGAGGCACGACCCTCGCGGGGGGATGTCGATAGTGGGGGAGGCTGTGCCTGTGTAGGGGCAGGAGGTATGTGGGAACCCTCTGTGACGTTTGCTCAGTCTGGCTTGTTTGAAGCTAAGCTTGCAGGTGCCTGCTGAACCCCACCATGTGCGGTGGGAGCCACAGACCCTTGGTCCCGTGAGGAGAACCGTCTGATGGGCTCCATGAT